TCACCGTGCTCCAATCGATCTGCGTCTTCCTCCTCCTCTTCTTCTTCCTGCTGCCTGGTCAAGTGGTACTCCCCGCGAGACAGGTTCATGCAGCTTGGGCTACTTCTCTGCTATCGCGGCGTGAGATGCCGGGATTGTCTTTTCCAGGATTGCTGAATCTGAAGCGAGTCAAGGAAAGAATTGTCTAATCGTCAAGTACGTGGGACGCTACCGAGCTATGCGTGTCGGACTCGCGACTTCGTGAGTCTTGATCGTGAATGGATCGTGAGCGTGAGTCAAAAGTCTGACGGGTTTGTCCTTCCCTCTCCCTCTCACCGCGGTCGGCCTTGGCCCGTGCAAGTTCAAATATGAATATTATTCCCGATTCCTCCTCTGGTTTTATTTATATGATTCACCGGGCGGGATCACGAACCCCGAGCGTCAGCGCTTGACATCTCACGTGACCATCCATATGCAAGCTGATGAATACGCGCGGATCTTCTCGTCAAGACGTTTGCCGAGGCGTCAAGTCAGAGGAGACCCTGTGCATTCAGGGCAGAGTGTAGTTCTCACTCATCATCCTCCCTCGCTTTCTCTCGCTCAGCGGTAAGACGTACGCAAGCAGCACAGCAAGCGCTGAATGGAAAGCACGAGACGCTCTCCTCGTGCTTGGCTTCCGAGCGCCAGCGATCACCAGTAAGAGGTTGTTGCGGATCCCTCACAGGAATTAAGCAGAGTTTCTTCTTCTTCGGTAGCTGGCGCCGTTCTCCATCCTCTGCGGTTCGGCACAACGCATATCTGCCTCTACTCGCGCTCTGCTGCGCATACTCTGGCATGTCTGTGCCTAGCAGGCTAGCCAACTCGGCGGCGCACGCCACGAGCGCTATTCGCCATGGCCAGTTGAATGTTTGCAAGGGCGGCAGCACGCCATCTACCAGCAGAGCGACGCTGTCGACCGCTGCAGGAGATCGCATGTCAATTGGAAGCCGCTGTGGCTCCTTGATCACCTGTCGCGATCGGACCAGGCCTCTTCTCGTACCCGCCCGGCGGAGGAATCAAAGCGGATGGGCATCGGTCGTGGACACGGCTAAGAATCTCGTCTCCAGCAGTCCTTCCCCCACTTCACCCTCCCAGTCACCGCAGACACACGCAACAGGCTCCTCCGCCCTTTCTCCCCCGCCGAACAAGTCCTCCGCGCATGCTCCACCCCAGGGCAGCACTTCATCGAGCACCAGCGGACCTCGACCGACATTCCAGGATCCTTTGGATCTCGTTAGGCGAGAGCTTTCCTCATTGAGAGCCAACGTTTCCACACTGCTCGGCTCAGGCCATCCTGCGCTCGATACCATAGCAAAGTACTACTTCCAAGCAGAGGGAAAGCACATTCGTCCACTCATCGTGCTTCTCATGGCGAGAGCAACGAATGGATTGAGTCCAAAATGGGGAGAGCTGGTCCTCAAAGCGCACAGCCAACGGGATAGCTTGAGGTCGCTATCGGCTGGAGGTGAGGGTGTGGAGATCGAGCACAGCATGGGTATCGATGAGCCTCTCAGTCCGAGAGAAGTGCTCAACGATTTCAATCCGCACATGGAAAGCGTGGAAGGCGGAGGTGCGGACCGCAGTGGTGCTACAGCCGCGGAATCGCACACAGCTCCCTCGTTCGATGCTCCTCAAGCTCCAGATTCCAAATCTGAGCTGCACCGCTTGGCAGTCGAGAGCAACACGTCGATCTTGCCCACCCAGAGGAGGCTAGCGGAGATCACAGAAATGATCCACGTCGCTTCTCTTCTCCACGACGACGTGATCGATGCTTCTTCATTGCGAAGAGGAGAGCCATCGGCACCTGCCGCGTTTGGCAACAAACTGAGCATTCTAGGCGGTGACTTTTTGCTCGGTAGGGCATCAGTAGCCCTAGCTCGGTTGAGGGACAACGAGGTGGTGGAGCTTCTGGCTACCGTCATCGCAAATCTGGTGGAAGGTGAGGTCATGCAGCTGCGAGCACAAGCGCTGGATGACCATGCCAACGGCGCAGCTCGACCGTCAAAGAGCATCTTCAGCACATTTTGGGAAGGCAAAGCGTCAAGTCAGCCCGCTGCTGCTGCAGCGGCCTCGCATGGTGGTCCAAGCCCTCAGGTGTTCGAGCACTACTTGCAAAAGACGTATCTGAAGACCGCCGCGCTTATTGGCAAGTCGGCTAGAGCCGCTACTATCCTGGGAGGCTCTGGAGCGGATGCCGTGAGAGGATTAGGAGAAGAGGCCGAGAATAGCGCCAGAGCGGTTAGGGATGCCGCTTACACCTACGGAAGGAACGTTGGCATCGCTTTTCAGGTGAGCGCGCAGTAGAGCATCTCGACACGGATGACCCGGCTTCTACTTTCTGCGCAATCTGACGATGTTGCGCTCCGCACTTGCCCCGTCAGCTCGTCGATGATCTGCTGGACTTCAAATCCACTTCGTCCGCTTTCGGCAAACCCTCTGGTGGTGCAGACCTGCGACTCGGTCTGGCTACGGCACCGGTTCTGTATGCGTGGGAAGAGATGCCCAATGAGGGGATGGGAGAGATGGTCAGAAGGAAGTTTGAGGGAGAAGGGGATGTCGAACGTGTGAGTACTGTTG